AGTGAAAACAGGTGTTAAATTCATGACAAAAGATACTTTATGAATCCCCTCACAGTCGGTAAGATCACAAATACTTCACGGGAGCGTAAAAGTAGTGTCAACGTTCACATGGTGCCAAACTGAGGTCTTTGTTTTCTAAATGTTTGACCAGTTCAGGTAGCCGTGAAGTCATTTGTGATGGCGCTGTTGACCGGCGGGATGTCCGAGATTCACCATAAATAATGCATAATATAATGACGCCACAATTTGTCCTTTGAGCAATTCTTCTTCGTGAAGTTCACAAAGTTGAAAATTATGGGTAAATTATGCCGCGATGACGTCATAGACGGTGCTCTTCACATTTTAGCCAAAGGAAATTACACTGAAATGTCGTAAATATGTGACGTCATTCCGTCAAGGTATCGAGAACCAAAAATAAGCTAAATCCCAAGCGACTTTAAAAGTTACAGCACTTATCAAGTGTAAGAAATCACGGAAAGCAGGTGTCACAGTAACTTTTCAAAAAGTCAAGGAGAATGTTACGTTTACCCCCCCCCCCCAATGAACGGTTGAATCACCGTAACAAAGATAATTACTTTGCTTACAAAGTTCATGTGTGATAACTGTTGAATACGCATGCGTAAACTTTTAGGAAGTTTATGTTCAGGATGTTAACAAGTGAAGTTTAAAAAAAATACACCATTATTCTCATTTCTCACAAGCATTCAAATCGCACTCTGTGATTGGAAATACTATGAACGCATGGAACATAGTTTAATTTAATTGAAATAATACAAGTTAGGTGCATTTTTTATCGTGTTGAAGTTTCGACGAAACACCACTGGCATTCATGGTGTATGCAATTAGAATAAAAGGATACACGTCATTCATCACGTGATTCTGTTGGCAACATCTGTCAGATGAACACGAACGGAGTTAAACGTGTGTTAAACACTAGCTGCCGACAGTAACTTGCCGCCACACGGACTATAAGTGCACGTAATTTACACCTTTTTTTACACACTATAGTGCTGTGACGTAATCAATTGTTCCTAAACTATATACTTCATATGTGTTGCTATCACCCATGGCTACTT